GCTTAAGTTCATAATTGGGAAGATTCAAATAACCCCTAACCCAATTTATATCTCCTAATAATCTCTGAAAATCATTTAAAGTCTTTAAACTATCTTTGCACAATTCCACCTTTTGAGGAACAATTTGAGTACTAGTTATGCGGGATCCCAGATAAGTTGCAATGCTTCCTTTTTGAACCTTTTCAGGGGCAATAAATAACTTCTTACTTTCTAACAACTGAATCAAATATGCAAAGCCATCATCTAATACGAATTTGTCTTTTGCTGCTAAGAGGATGTCATCCATGTAATGGATGCATTTTAAGGAAGAAAATCTCTTACGTAAAGGCCCAATCGCTTGACCCATGAATAGCTGACACATTGTGGGGCTGTTAGCCATGCCCTGCGGAAGCACAACCCATTCATACCTCTGGTCAGGCTGCTCATGATTGCACGCCGGCAAGGTAAAGGCAAACCTTTCACAATCCTTCGTATGTAGGGGTATGGAGAAGAAACAGTCTTTAATATCTATTATTATTATGGGCCATCCCTGTGGAAGTGTAGATAGAAGAGGCTGCCCACGTTGCACAGGCCCCATGACCTGCATCTGCATATTAATAGCTCTCAAGTCATGTAGCAACCGCCACTTCCCTGATTTCTTTTTTATTACAAAAATAGGAGTATTCCAAGGCAATACAGAGGGTCAAATGTGTCCTAAATTCAATTGTTCTTGAACCAATTGCTGCGCTGCGACCAATTTGTCTGAGGACAGAGGCCACTGAGGAACCCACACTGGGTCCTTGTGCTTCCAAGTAATGGGAATACCTTCTTCAGCGGCCCCTATGAAAAACCCAGCCCTTGGCGAGGAGGCCTCTGCACTACTTCAGTGGGCTCATTTCTTCCTTGTAAGAATTTTCCTATTCCATAATTCGGATGGTGTCCCATATCCTTCATCAATTTTTGAGAAACACGGGAGTATTCATTACTTAATTTATAGTTCATGTCTTTCAAAAGGTCTCGGCCCCATAAAGAGATAGGTAAATCCAAAACATAAGGTTGCACTGTGCCTGAATGTCCCTCTGCATCCTCCCAGCGCAGCATTACTGCGCTCATCTCAGGAGTTTCTGAATATCCCAGTCCCCAAAGGGATTGTGAGGATGCCTGCTTAGGCCACTTTGGAGGCCAATCCTTGGAGGCGATGATACTACGGTCTGCACCTGTGTCTAGTAGGCCAAGAATGTCCTTTCCATTTATTTTTATCTTTAAGGTTGGTCTCTGGTCTAGTTCTAAAGACAAGAAGGTACAATCTACGCCTGTGGATCAAAGCCTTCACTTCCTCGTTGTTTCTTTGATGCACTGAACTGCAAATGCTTGCTAGGAAGGATTACAAGTTGTGCAATCCTATCTCCTGGATTAATAGCTGTTATACCTCTAGGGGACTCAACCATGATTTTCACCATGCCAGTATAATCCGAATCTATGACTCCTGGATGAATTATGAGACCTTTCAAGGTAGAGGATGAACGTCCCAACAACAATCCCACTGTCCCTTCCTCTAGGGGTCCCTGAAAGTCTGACTCAATGGCTTGCACTCCCATTTTTGGTGTCAGTATGAGTCTGGCGATGGCACAGAGGTCCAGGCCTGCGGAGTCTGCAGTGGCTCTCCGTGGTCTCTGGGATGTCTGAAGCTGGGCCACTGACTTTGCCTCCCCTGCTGCTGGTCCTGATGGGGGCCCTGAAGCTGACGCTCGAATGCCCCATATATTTGCGGGCCCTGGGGACAAGGGCCCCGCTGCCCATTTTTTGGACGTGCCCCACCATTGCCAGAAGCAAGGACGTTGCCGTCAATGTCCTTTACCGAGCGGCATTCGTTGGCCCAGTGCTTTCCCTTCCTGCATTTTGGACAAATTCCTGGTCCTTCCTGTCTTTACTCTTTGCCTCTTCCCCTTTGTGGACATTGCCGCTTCATATGTCCCATTTTTCCACAACTGAAACATGCTCCAGCATTCCCTGATCCCCTATTGCCCTTCGTGATTTGAAGGACTGCTGCAGCGAGGCCAGTGTTGGATAGCAGCCCTCCTATTTCCCTGCATTGTTTTATCCATACCTGAAGCCCTTTGCTCTTCCATGGTGTTATAGCGGCTCTGCATTCCTTAGTGCACTGCTCAAAAACCAACTGTTCTATCAGCGGCATGGCACGATCTGGATCTCCAAAAATCCTACCCGCAGCTTCCGCCATGCGCGCTACAAAGTCTGAAAACAGCTCGGTGGGTCCCTGTGTAATCTTTGTCAAATTCCCACCTACCTCTCCTCTGTTGGGTATAGACTTCCAAGCCTTGATGGCTATCTTGTTAACTTGTTCATACACTGCATGTGGGTAACCTGTCTGCTGGTTAGTGAATCTCCCTACGCCTAGCAGCATATCTCTGTCCCAATGCGGATTCCCTGCCGCTGCATTTTCTGCCGTTTGTTCATTGGCAAAGTCAATCAGGAAAGCTCTGAAGTCTAAGTATTGTCCTGGTGACAATGCAGCACGAGCCAACCCGCTCCAGTCATTTGGAGTCATGCAGTGTCTTTGAAGATTTTCTACTTGAGCCAGCGTGAAAGAGCCGCTGATGCCATAGGCTCTTACTGACTCTGCCACTGATTTGATGATCTTTATGTTGAGGGGTTCCTCGTACCTCTGCCCTTGCAGATCTTGGAAGACAGGATAGGCAGCTCATCCTCGAGGCATGCTCGCACTAACTTCCATATTGGTCTGACTCCCCCTTCAAGATTACTCTGTTCAAGTGCAAAATCCAAATCCCTGCCTAGTTTGTCCCATGAAGGGATAGTAAGGCTTCCCGAAACCCCATACCAGGGTGCAATGGTATCGCAGTTACGTAAAAACCTATGCAATGTACTAGGCTTAAGTTTCAAACCGTTTTCTCGAAGCAGCACATTCAGCAACAGAAAAATTTGATGGGACTGTGAATTACCCATCGTCAAAAATTGCGCTCTTTCCCTGGCCACGGGTCAGAGATCCTTCTGCTTTTGTCGCAGAACTTCCTCTGCTTTAATCGCAGAACTACCCTCCCGCTATTATCGCAGGACTGCCCGCTCTTATCGCGGATCCCCACCTTATTTTCCTGGGGGACTTACCAGTGCTGCCCTGACTGCAGGAAGTTCTGAGTTCGCGTTTGAGATGGTTCCCCGTACGGGCCACCAGTTGTCGCGTCCCTTGACCAGCAAGGAAGACACGACCCGAACTCTTCTTCAAGCGGTTTATTCAGGAACCTTGAACAAGCTTCTTCTTCCGCCTCCTTCCCTCTCCCATCCCTCTTATAGCCATCAGCACACCAATCAAAAGCAGCCAAGTGGCAAGGACTGATTGGTACAGCAATGCGGAAGCCAGAAGGGAGCTCAGCCATCTCCTTATTAGGAGTTGTTTGTTTCTTGCCAGTCCTTCCGGGAGAAAGGAGCCGGCGCCATCTTTAGGGCGCGGTGCATTGGCTCCCCACAGAAAGGTCTTTATTTTACCTTCATTCACAAATGAGAGCGTTGCAGGATATAGAAATGTGGGATGGCAGTTTTTTTTCCTTTTAGTCCTTGGGCTATTTCTCATCATTCCCTCCTAGCCTGTAGGGTTTCTGATGAGAGGTCTGCTGTGAGTCTAATTGGAGATCCTCTGAGTAATCTGATGTTTCTCTCTCATACATTTTAGAATCTTTTCTTTTATATTTCATAGTGGTGAGTTTGATTACAACGTGTCGTGGTGAGAATCTCTTCTGGTCACGTTTACTGGGGGTTCTGTGTGCTTCCTGTATTTGGATGTCTCTTTCTTTCTCCAAACTTGGGAGGTTTTCTGCTAGTATCTCACTGAAAAGGCCTTCTAATCCTTTCACGCTCTCCATGGCCTTAGTGTTGTATTTAGTAATCAGCAACCTTTTACTCTGACTTCATTTAATTTTACTGAAAGCTACTTATTTTCCTCATTTCTCTAGATTGTGTAAAAAAATAGGTTTGTCTTGGACTGACCCTGACAGGACATTTATCTAAAAGCTCTGAGAAATAATTATCTACATATCTATCAGGAAGGAAATTAATTAAAATGTATGAAAGCACATTAATTTTCTGTATTGAGACACCCCAAATCTCCCTATACAACAATAGTTCTAAAACTTCAGCCTGAGTAAAATCATGTTGCTAAGTTAATCTTGAGATTGCTGTATAGTAATATTGGGATAGGTCCTAGAATTTGCTTTCAAATAAATTGCTGAGTGATGATATTTTTGGTTTAGGGACTATACTATCCTCCAGGATAAAGCTCAATCTTATTGTCAGGCCAACTAAGGTAAGAACTAAGATACTATAACAGAGATATTGCAGAATAGAGTGGCTTTTCTATTGAAATCATCTGGTGGTACTGCTTTGTTAAGGGATTGTTCTGCTAAGATATTGCTGTGTACTTCCATCGCATTGATGCATTCTCTCCTGGGATTTTGTTCTTGTTTGTGCAGTCATAATTACCTAATATCCAAATTTACATTCCAGCCAAGAGGTAGAGGCATGAAGAAGATGAGTGCAACTACCTTCATATTTAAGAAAACCCAGAAGCTGTATACATAATTGACATTCTGTTGGTGGAGGTCAGGCTAGGAAATGTAACTAGTAGCACAATGGCCACAAGTCCAGTTAATACTTGAGGCAGAGAATGGAATGTGTGTTGTTAGGTCGTTTTCTCCACCATAGAGGCTGCGATAACAATATTATGTGAATGAAAGGGAATGACATTTATCTTAAATGTAAAAAGCATGGGAATAAAAAAGTCTATGTTGAATATAATTCCACAAGAAAATAGCGACTATTTATTTAAGAATTTTTACATATAACTTTTATTAGATTTGCTATGTTTCATAATTCTATGAGGGTGCTTCAAAAAGTTCATTGAACATTAGCATTATCTTTTCATTTCATTTTCCATGAATATTTGAAACCATCTGCACATGGCTTCTGCTGTGGTTTCTGATTAGTCTTCAAGGTTACAAATTCATGAACTGTGCTTTATTTATGCATTTGTATCTGTTCTTACTGTTTTCTCTATTATCTATAAATAAAGTTAGAAACTGCACCAAGTCAAATTCTGAGTGGTGAATAAATAAGTGGTTTTTGAATAAGTGAATTGATTCAGGTTCTGGTGATAAAGGCCAATATTTTTTTAACTCTCTACAGTTTAATTTAGTTTTCCGTATAATATGACTTTGTTTAACAGTTTCAATCCCCAATAGAATCTTTACTGCACTTTTAACATCTTTGTTTCTTAAAGTGTAGATCAGAGGGTTTAAGCTGGGAGTGACAATTGTGTAAAAAAGAGCAAGGAATTTCCCTTCATTTTTATATGTGGTATTCTGTGGTCTGATGTAAATATAAATAACTGGTCCATAAAAGAGATTTACGACTGTGAGGTGGGAACCACATGTACTGAGGATCTTTTGCCACCTTGAGGTTGACCTGATTCTAATTACAACGTGAGTGATGACTCCATAGGAGATGAGAATTAGTGATAGAGGTACTAGAAGAAGTACTGTGCCAAAAACAAAGGCAAAAATCTCAATTACTTTTGAATAAACACAAGCCATCTTGATCAAGGCTGGCCCCTCACAGAGAAAATTATCCACTTTCCTGTGCCCACATCTTGGCAACTTCAAAGTCAGGGAACAAACAATTAAGGCACTGCCAAGACCACCCATCCAGGCAGTCAGCACCATCCTCTGGCATAGCTGAGGGTGCATGATTACTGTGTAGTGAAGAGGTTGACAGACAGCAGCATAGCGGTCATAAGCCATCACAGTCAAGAGAAGACATTCTGTGGCTGCAAAGACAAGGGCAAAGAAGAACTGGAGCACACACCCTCCATATGTAATAGATTTCTTTGGACCCCATAGATTTACCAGCATCTGGGGGATAATGCTAGTTGTATAACAGAGGTCCACAAAAGACAGATTGGATAAGAAGAAATACATGGGAGTATGGAGCTGGGCATCCAGATAAGACACAAGAATGATGGTTGTGTTTCCTACCAAAGTCACGACATAGAAGATGAAGACAACTGCAGAGATGATGCGTTCTAACTGTGGTTGATCAGAAAACCCTAGAAGGATGAAGTCTGTCCCGGAACTTCCATTGCTTGTTTCCATTGCCTTTTTGAAGGCTGAGGAATAACACCCTGTTAACCAATGTAAGTGTCAGACTTAGGTAGAAATGAAAATTTCTGAAGTGCATCATGAGTATACAGAACTGACTATTCTGCCCACTTGTCACATTTGGAAGATATCTCGAATTTTCCTCTGTCAGTTCTCGTAATCTTTTCGTGTTTAGTTTTACCCAAGTTAGTCTATTGATAGCATGCTAAACCCAACAATACTGAATTGTGATAACTGAAAATGGTGACATGTTACATCAGCACACATGGTTCTATATATTTTCATTAAGTAATAAAGGCATAAATACAACTATCACATTTTTAAAATGGGTAGATACTTTGAGGGGTTATTATTTCTTGAAATTATGACATAAATGTCATCTGATTATGATAAAACTTTCCTCTATCAAAGGAGTTGAACTTGACAAAAAAAAGGTAATGAAATATTTTCTTGGCATAAGCTCAAGACTTTGGTAGCAGAATCAGACATCTTCACTTTCAAATATTCGCATCCCTACCATTGTAATCATAATCACAATCACCACCACCTTGTTTCTCCTCCTGTTTTTTCAATCACCTCAACACTGCATGCACTGTTCCTGTTATATCTACTGTTTAACCACTCCTACTTCACTGCCTTTTTTGTGAATTTGTTTTCTTATTATTTCTTTTCTGTACATGCATTTGCTTACATGTACAGATGCTATATATTTTTAAAGTACCTTTAATAACTGATATTACATCATCTAAGTGGTACCATGGAGTTGATGCAGAGTTAAAAACTGAACTACTGTCACAGCCATTTGGCCACCACATACATGTAGTGACATTCTGTGTCAGCTTCTACTCACCTGCCGTTCAGCAGAATTAGCCAGGCAGCTAATTCAAACAACAAAGCATTCCTTAGATAACCAGTGAGTTGACTTTCCCATGGAATGTACCAATTACATGAGTGGATCTTCAGATTGCTTTGAAACCATTTATGGAAAAACACCACCTCTTTTCAACTCTAAAGAATACAGACAATGGATAAAAACTTTTAACAACCTCACTCTTTCTGATTATTGTATCATATTAAACAGATGGACTGTTTAATGACTGAATTATGTTTTTTTACCAGATAATTCATGATCATGTACTTCAGACCCAAGGTACCTTACTTACAATGTCTCTTGGCTATGCAATGAAAGCTTTGTTTGTTGAAATTATCTGATGAAATGATATGAAGATAAATTATCTTGACTGTATAATTTTTATAAACACTTCAGCTAGAATATGAGTATTATAATCACAAATAAGGATCTGTGATATTCAAATAATGAGAGGTGTAGTTTTTCTCTGTACAAAAATGTAAACTTAATTATTGAGTGTCTAGTTTTTACATAGTAGGATGTCAGCTAAGCAAAGTACAGTTCCTGAGCACATTGTCAACTGCTTCAAAATTCCTGGCATCCATTTCAGGCCCCACCACTTAAAAGCTATGTTTCTTTGGGCAATTATTTAACCCAGGTTTGTATTCCAGGTACTTTAAATGCAAAGTAAATGTAACAGTATTGCCTTCCTCAAGGGAGTTTATGCGTATTAATACTCGTGAAAGTACTTGAAACAGTGCTTGGTCATATTTAGCTCAAAAAATAACAAGCTATATCCACCTAGTGGCACATCATTATTATTCTGTCTATATATTCTCTCCTCCTCCTCCTCCTCCTTTTTCACATAAGAGATTTTGCCGTGAAGGTCTAGAAGTAAACTGGAAAGTCGTAAATTTTTTGCATAACTTTAAAATGCACAAACAGAATTCCATACACAAAGAACGTACACAAACATGCATTTTGAGGTAATGAGTCTCAGGGCCAGGGGAGGGCTTGAGAACCTGAAATACTTGGTATACAAATGCACTGGGTTCTTTGCTTCAGGTTGGGATGGTGTTAGAATTAAAAGGCCATGAATTTGAAAGCTGAAATAGACGTGAGTAGTCTGCATAGAGGATTCCAGAGAATAGTCATGCAAAGCCTGTTTACATAAGGTTAGTGACAGAGAACTCAGTTTCACATGAAGCAGATTCTTTCCTTATTGACTCTCACTTGCTTACATTGAGTTCAGCGGTTCTACTTTGCACTCTCCAGGCAATTGCTATTTTCCTTTATTATGAATATAACAAAGACTACATCAGCTTAGTATGGCTTTGTTAAAAAAAACCCTCTGGGGGCTGGCGCTGTGGTGCAGTAGGCTAAGCCTTTGGCTGTGGCACCAGCATCCTAAATGGGCAGAGGTTCATGTTCCTGCTGCTCCTCTTCTGATCCAGCTCTCTGCTATGGCCTGGGAAAGCAGTAGAAGATGGCCCAAGTGCTTGGGCTCCTGCACCCATGTGGGAGACCTGGAAGAGGCTCCTGGCTCCTGGCTTCTACTATCTCAGGTCTGGCTTTTGTGGCCATTTGGAGAGTGAACCACCAGATGGAAAACCTTTCTATCTTTCTGTCTCTGTCTGCAACTCTGCCTTAAATTAATGAATAAAATCTTTAAAACAAACCCTTCAGTTTTAGTTTGATAGATATAATAACAAATAGTAAATTTTAATAAATTTATGTGATTTTTTTTACTACTATCATGCTAATCAAGAAATAGAACATTGCCAGCTGCTCCAGGTGCTTTTCTTTGTATCTCTGGTCACTCATTGTGAAGATATACTAGAGCTTATTTCTTCTATCTAAATATATTTTGGTACCTGTTTTCCAATATTCCCTGCCTCTCCTCCCCTACTCTTCCCATTTTCTACTAATCATAATTATATTATCAGATTGATTTTTTAAAGCATCTGTATATGAGAACATGTGGTGACAAACACTCTGAATAAATTTGGTATAAGAGGAACATATGCTAACATGATAAAGGCTATATGCAAACTCACAGCCAACTTCATATGGAATCAGGAAAAGCTTAAAATTATTTCCTCTAAGATCTAGAATAACACAAACATGTCCCTTCTTACCAAATTGGGAATCTTAGCCAAGGTAGTTAGGGAGAAGAAAAAATAAATGTTTTATTAATAGGATGGTAGGAAGTCAAATTATCCATGTTTGTAGCTAATATGTTTCTGTAAATACAAAATCCTAAAGACTCCATCCAAAGCCTGTTAAAATTGACACATGAATTGTTGCAGGATACAAAATTAACATAAAGGCTAGTAATATTTTTATATATTAATAATAATGTTACTGAGAAAAAATCATGAAAGCAATCAAACTAAGAATAACTGTCAAAAAAAAAAAAAAGACCTAGAAACAACTTTAGCCAAGAAGTAAAAGATTTCTATAATGAAATTTATAATACACTGATAAAAAAAATTGAAGAAGACATTCAAAAGTAGAAAGACATCTCATGTTCATGAATTGGAAGACTTAGAATTAATAGTGTTAAAATTTTCAGAATATTGCAAATAATTTACAGATTTAATGCAATTCCCATCCAAATACCAATGGCATTCTTCACAGAACTGTTTGTTTTGTTGTTGAGTTTCTTGATCTCTTTATATATTCCTGTTATTAATCCTTTATCAGTTGAATAAATTACAAATAATTTTTCCCATTCTGTCGGTTGCTTCTTCACTTTTTTAGTGTTTCTTTTATAGCACAGAAGCTTCTCAACTTGATATAATCCCAACTGTTAATTTTGGCTTTGATTGCCTGTGCCTCTGGGGTCCTTTCTAAGAACTCTTTTCCTGTGCCAATGTCCTACAGGGTTTCTCCAATGTCCTCCTTTTTAAAAATTAGATTTATATATTTACTTGAAAGTCAGAGTTACACAGAGAGAAAGAGAGAGAGAGCTCTTCCATCTGATGATTCACTCCCCAACTGGCCACAATGGCCAGAGCTGCACCGATCCGAAGCCAGGAGCCAGCAGCTTTTTCTGGGTCTCCCACATAGGTGCAGGTGCCCAAGGACTTGGGCCACCTTCTACTGCTTTCACAGGCTATAGCAGAGAGCTGGATCAGAAGAGGAGCAGCCAGGACTAGAACCGGCACCCATATGGGATATTGGCGCTTCAGGCCAGGGTGTTAACCCACTAGGCCACAGTGCCAGCCCCTAATGTCCTCTTATAATTTGATGGCATCAGATCATAGATTTAGATCTTTAATCCATTTTCAGTGGATTTTTGTATAAGGTGTAAGGTAGGGGTCTTGCTTTGTACTTCTGCATGTGGAAATCCAGTTTTCCCAGCACCATTTGTTGAAGAGACTGTCCTTGCTCCTTGCTCCAGGGATTGGTTTTAGCTTCTTTGTGAAAGATAAATTGGATTTAGATGCTTTTATTGATTTCCGGCATTTCTATTTTGCTCCATTGGTCTATCCATCTGTTTTTGTGCCAGCGCTATGCTATTTTGATTATAACTTCCCTGTAGTATGTTTTGAAATCTGTTATTGTGATGCCTGAAGCTTAGTTTTTGTAGTATAAGATTACTTTAGGTACTCGTGATCTTCTCAGGTTTTAATTGTTTCTTTTCTCCTACTAGTTTTGGTTTGGTTTGATGTTGTTTTTCTATCAATGCAGTCCTTGAACTGCATTGATAGCTCATTTATTTGGTGCCCTTCTAATTTCTTGACATAGGCACCATTGGCTCTAAACGTTCCTCTTAACACTGCTTTTCTGTATCCCATACATTTTGATATGTTATAGTTTCTTCATTCATTTACAAAAGCTTTTTGATTTCTCTGATGACACACTGTTCATTCAGGAGCATGTTGTTCAGTCTCCATGTATTTGCATATTTTCTATAGATTCTTGAGTTGTTGATTTCCAGCTTCATTCCTTTGTGGTCAGTGAGGATGCATGGTATGATTATAATTTTTTTGAATTAGCTGAGACTTGCCTTATGGCCTAGTATGTGGTCTATCCTGGAGAAAGTTCCATGCATTGCTGAGAAGAATGTATATTCTGCAACTTATGAAAAGTTATGTAAATATCTGTTAGGTCTATTTGGTCCGTAGTGTCAATTAAC